TTGTTTGTTTACCTGTCTGTGTTTTACCTGCTCTTTTTAAAATGAGCTCTTAATAAACAGAAAGTCTAAAACGTGAACGCGAGTTAAAAAGAAACACAGCAAGTTTCTTTTGACTGTCACGGTTCAGAGTGACGAGCTCTGGTTAGACGAAAGTTGAAATGACTCTCTTCTCTGTGTGTGACTGCCACGACGTGGCAACGCATACCAAAGTGCTTCTTTAATAAATCATTCACGCACGAGCCAGCCATAAGGTAGATATGCAGATTCCTCTCCATCCTGCCTCTCTTCTCTCCAGCAGAGGCGTTTACTTCGGCGATTTGACGGGGAGGGAGCGACAGCCCCGAAGCAGCGTGGCTGAACGTCCGGCTGCAGGTTCAGTTGGAAACGTTTGGTGAAGTCATTTGTTGTTCGACGTTGACGTCTGTGGAGTTTTTGTCCAACATGGATCCGTGCTTGTCCTTTGCTGCTCTTTAAAACTGAAGGCTTGGCCCTGTCATACTATGATGAACACAGAGGAGTGTGCGTGTGTGTGCAGTCAGACTGTAAGGAACATCCATTAACTGCTGAGGGGCTCCGAGGCAGAGCCTCACAACTTCCAGCTGCCATGTTGCCAAAGATCTAAGAAATAACGTTCTGGAAACTGCTTTGGTTGATATGGTAACGTGATTTATTGCAGCTACTGAAATCAAAAGAGCAGAAAACGTTGATAACTTTATCTCGATCATCTCCTGACTATTGCCCGCTGCCAGAGGTCAAAGGTCATTTAGTCTTTTGTCCACATCTGCATGTGTTCACGTCTTTTAGCAATTTCATGAAACACTTGACAGACTTTTATGAAATAGTCAAAAAGGAGGAAGTCAATCTGTACAACTGATTGTAAAGATGGCCGCCATAGCTTAACATTAGTAAACACACAAAAGGCATTAAGTCGGTCAGTTTTACATACATTGAGCAGAAGTTTGGTGTGGTAGTAGCTGAGTGTGCTTCACAACACATTCTCCAAGTGGTAACTCTCTCAGGGCTGTGCAGATGGGTATTCTTAAGGTTTGACCAAAATGTAATTTTTTTAATCAACAGAAGATCTTGGTCTAAAACTCCAGCATGAAAGACGACGGGAGATCTGCAATCCTTCAATAGTGTGAACGTTCATGAAGAATTCACACTATTGAGATCCTGTTTACACTTCTAAATTCTTCCGTACGTTTTCCAGCATCTTTCTCGTTCCACAAACAAAACTTTCAGCTCATTCAGGATAAGGGCGTTATGACTTTTGGTTTTGGTGCAACTTTAGCTTTTTGAAATATTTAGCCTTTTCTGCCACTTTTTTTTCCCCCTCATAGAAAATGAATTGAGCTCATTTAACAACCTTTAGATCTGTTGACAAACTTTTACTGCTCTTTTCACTTTTTGTTCTGGTTCAGCTGATTTCAGCTTCCTTGTGCAAATTTAAACTTTTTTTTCAGCTACTTCCAGCTGTTCTTTCAGCTGATTTGGTCTCCTTTCAGATTCTTTCTGCTAACTAAAACATTTTTGTGCTTCTTCCAACTTATTTCAGCTAATTTCAGCTTGTTATGCTCCTTTCAACTTATTTCTGAAAGTTTGAGCTGTTTCTATTATTTCAGCTACTATTTAGCCATTTTATGATAATTTTAGCTTTTTCTGCTAATTCCACATGTTTTAAACTCATTAAAAAATGACAGCCTAATTCAGCAAAAATGTGCTCACTCCACTTTCTTCTGGTAATTTCAGCTTATTTCAGCTTTTTTAGCTTAATTTCAGCTGTTTTTTGTGCTCATTTCAGCTTTTTTCCGATCATTTCCAATTTTTTGTGCTCATTTCTGCTTCTTTCAGCCTATTTGGGCAAACTTGTGTTCTTTCTGCTTTCTTCTGCTAATTTAATCTTGTTCTACATTTTTAGCATTTTTTCTTTAGCTAATTTCAGCTGTTTTCAGTTAAATTTAAGCTTTTCCTGATAATTTCTGCTACTTTCAGCCTAATTAACTTCTTTCTGCTAATTTCAGCTTTTTCCTTTCAGTTTTTTCCTGCTAGTTTCATATTTTTTCTGCTATTTCAGCTATTTAGTTCCTTCTTGTCGTTTAAGCTTACGTTTGCATTCTCAGCTACCTTTTGCTAACTTCAGCTTTTTAAAGTCAATTTCCTATTTTTTGTGCCAATTTCTGCTTATTTAAACCTAATCCGACAAATATGTGTTTCTGCTTTCTTCTGCTAATTTAAGCTTGGTCTTCCATTTCGGCTACATTTCAGGTGTTTTTCTGCAAGTTCTTCTGCAATAAGCATTCACACTGCATTTTCACAGGAAATACAATGTGTCTAGTTAGATTACAGTTTTCTATGACTGTTAAAGTTTTCATTATTTAAAGATTGTGAGAGAATTTTCACATCATCTTAAAAGGATTCTTAAACTGTGAACATGGATCAGCTAAAATCTACACCATCACCATGATCTGAGAGACAAACAAGTTCCCAACATAAAGGCGAGTTCAACCAGTTCATAAAGGAGGAAGCATCTACTGAAACTGAAAATCCCAGAATCTAAGACTTCCAGAGTTTAGGGCTCCTTCTGCCCTTTATTGTACTTTTATTTATTAAAATTCCAATTTCATACACCTCCCCGCTGCTGTTCAAAATAGAGTATCTTCTGAAACCTAATATTGGCGGCAGGGCCTCGGGTGAAAAAAAACAAAACAATACGAGCTACAGTGAGGGGGAGAAAGAAAAACAAGTCAAGAGGGAAAGAAAATGGATTCAGAAAGAGATAAATCTGATCTGGAAAGAGATTGGTGCGTTAACGGAGGATGGGGTGAAATTTGACCTGCTGGCAAGTGTTGATGCAGCTTAAGAGGCCCCTAATATAAGGACGAGGTGTGCTGCAGCTCAAGTCTAAAAAAGATCTGGAGATGGAGCCAGCCTGGAAGCTCAAACAAAACCAGCCCGATCCCGTCCTCCCCCTCTTTCTCTCCCCCAGCTTCAGAAAATAATAAATAAATAAAATAAAAGACAGGGGCCACCACCGCTGGCTGCCAGCCAATCAGCTGGATCCAATTTATGACTAAACAATGTTGAGAGCTTTTCCAGGCTTTTGCAACGAGGGGTTAGCATGCTATGGGGGGATTTGCAGTCTCAGAGAGCCTCGAGGAGAATCATTCCTCTGGCTTGATGGAGGGGGGGAGGGAAAAAAGGGGGTGGGGGTTACGTGGGGCCAACATTCCTCACAGCCCCAAAAATAGATGATGGAGCTTAAGACGAAGTAGGTTAGCAGGGGCAGAATGTTGTTGGACAATTTAAACCGACTGCAAAGCTTCTGTTTCTGGAGTTACCTGTTGTGGTCACTTTACGCACAATGTTTTGTCCATTTAGAGTCAGATATTCTTTGTTGTCGTTCCACCACATGTGGTACATGTGGTGGAACGACATTATGTACACAGGGCCCCAGTTACATCCAACAATACAATGTATAAAGATAAACAGTATTACGATCTAAGATATGAACTAAGAAAAACATCAACTAAATATACACTAACAGCATAAAAACAATAAAAAAACATAAAAACAACAAAAAAAAAGAAGATAAGATGAAAAATATGTATAAAATGAAAACTATGTATATTGTTCACCAGCATGAAAAGAGGGCGATCGTGTAACTGCTTGTGTCTGGTCTGTGTAAGGGTGTGACCCAGATAATAAATACTCTGACAGAGCACTTCGCTCTCAGACTGCAGGTTTACTCGTGGTTCCTAGAGTTTCCAAAAGCAGAACGGGAAGCAGATCTTTCAGTTCTCAGGCTCCTCTCTTGTGGAACCAACTTCCAGGTTCTGTCCGTGAGGCTGACACATTGTCCAGTTTTAAGACTGGGATTAAGACTTTCTTTTTTGATAAATCCTATAGTTAGGGTTGGCTTGGTTTCCTGACCTATCCCTTATCCTATGCCGTTATAGCTTTAGACTACTAGAGGACAAAATGACCTAATTTCATCAAATGAATAGTTACAAATTAACACAAACAAATAGTTTGTATTTGTAATTATTTCTGTCCTATCGTGGCATTTATTTATTTTTCTTCTTCCTAGTGAGGGACCTGCTCGCCTCCATTCTGGATCTGCCATTCTGTGTCCGTTCCTCTTTCCTGTTCCTCTCAAACCCAGCCAGTCGAAGCAGATGGACGCTCGTCCTGAGCCTGGTTCTGCTGAAGGTTTCTTCCTCATGAGGGAGTTTTTTCCTTTCCACTGTCGCCTTGTGCTTGCTCAGGATGGGAGACTGCGACGAAATGAAGACTCAACGCAATCTGCTGGCTATCCTACCTTAGATAAATAAAGTTACTAATTTATTTTTATGAACGTTTCTGTTCAGTGCCCTGAGATGACTTCTGTTGTGATTAGGTGCTATATAAATAAACTGAATTGGATTGAACTAATCAGCCTTAGCCAGCAGAAAAGTTATTTGTCACGTTCATAAATACAGAGGTACAATTTGATAGCCAAACGTTAACGGATCATGTGCGATCACATGAGGTACTGATTTTTATTTTCAAAGTTTGTCCAACTGGCTACAACTCTTAGCTTTCAGCATTAGATGATCTTAGTTTAAAACTGTGGCACGAAAACCAGAGGGTGATACAAGTTTCTTACAGGATGTTACACAATTTAATTTGAACAGTGATCATTTGATATGTCCTGTCATTCCAGCTGTTCTTGTGTGAATGAGCAGGAAAAAAACCTGAAAAGTGTTGTTTAATATTTAACGAGAAGCACACTTAAAAGTTTAATTAAGTTCGGATCAGACTGTCAAATGGGAATTATGTTATGTTTGAACTGGTCTGTAGGCAATCCAATGATTAGGACCAGTTTCAATAACTAAATAAATATGTTTGCAAAGCTAGAAATATTAAATATGCACACAAAAATCTAGTTTTTGGATGGATAAAATCAGAAGTGAGACAAAGTGTACCTGATGAGGCTTTAGGCTCATCTAAAAGTCACTTACTTCTTGCAGGTGCTATACTCGGAGCAGCGGCTGAGCGGGACACGGATCACACAGCTGGAGAACGCCACAAACAGTGCATGATGGTCCCGGTCCAACTCGAGGCCAAGCACCCGTCTGTCCTCGCCCCGCACGTTGCACCTGGGAAGACGAACCAGTAAATAAATAAATACCCTGTCACAGTCTGAGAGGTTTACAGAAGACGTTTTATTTGTCCACAGTCTGATGTGAATCAAACTCTCTGAAGATCCACTTTTCAAGCTGTGCACTGAAGACAACAAAAGAAGCATCTCCTCCAGCTGTACAAGACGATGGAAGATCACAGGACAGATCGAGGAACAAGGACGAGGAGGAAAAAGAGCAAAGTAAAAAATAAAGAGAATCAAAACATGAGAATGATTAATGTAAATTGTCCCGTTTATGAGGAGAATAAAGAGCCCAAACAGATATGTGGAATTAAAAAAATAAATAAAGCATGTTCTGACTTGTTAGGGTTGTAGACATCAATATCCTCCAGGAGCTGGGTGCTGAAAGATGCATTGGCTCCCTCGGTGCTGGCCAGGAGTTTAAGAACATGGCCGTTATCTGAACCCAGCAGCACCACGGTGTAGTTCTTATACGGTCCTGCTGAGGTATCCACCGCAATCTGGGTCAGCTTGAACCTACAAAAGAAACCAGAGAAGACTTTCAATTTGGGCACATTACAGAGAAAGGTGAAGTACATAATCAATACACACTGACTGAATATTGATCTAGCTTATAATTGTTGCCAGGTTAATCATATCAATCCTGCAGCAGCTTAATGCTGTTGTTTTGTTGATTTTTAAACAAACAGTGGGCGACGACTGTATTTAGCATCAGTGTGCAATCAGTCAATTCATCGACATGCCCACCAGTCCCTTCTTTCATCGCCTACACCTTCTAATCCCTTCATCCTATTAATGCATCCATCCATCCACCCACCATCGTTCAATCGATCCGTCCTTCATGTTGTTCACATGCTGCAGTCTAATCCTGAGTCTCACTTCCTCTTTGTACAGTTCAGTATTCAGGAAGAAACCCAGCGATGGCTGCTTCATTTTGCACCAGTGCATTGATTCATATTCACACCGCTCCTCGTGCTTCCACCTGGGAGATGCCCAGTATCACCACAGCCGTCTACTGACGGCTCCACTGGAGCCCCCGAGGAGCCGCGGAGGATTGCAAGCTTTGCTGAAGGGCACCTTGAGTCCAGTGCTTGTTGAGAGAGAGATAAACTCCACTCGTTCATGTTGTCTGACTGCACTTTGCCTCTCTGGTCTGAGGATTTCAACAAATGCACTTCCTCTTACAAGGTTATTAGCACTACATTCAGGGGCGGGGCTAAACTCTTCATTTCAATGCATCGTCATGCAGACATGAGCAATTACGAATCAAATTTGAAATGAAAAAAAAAAAAAACCTGATGACTGTGCATCATTAATAACCTCTAATAACACCGTCCAGACTCTACCGTCTCAGATTTATCCACCTGGTTTATTGAGCATGCATCCGGACATTAATAACATCTTATTGAGTAACACAAAACAGTGTGGAAGTTTGGAGGTCTGGCGCTTGAACCGATTCCAACGTACACACGGCAGAGAAAAACCCCTGACGCAAACATACAAACAGCTCCTTTTGAATAGGAAAGCCATTGTTTGGAACTATTTCAGCTTCCATGAAGTTAAAGGGACACACACAGCTGAATATGTCGTGGATTCCTGGGGTGTTTGGAAGATGATGTGCCTGACTGTGCTGTCGGTTGAGGACGTAGAAGATGCATACATAATTGGAATTATGATAACAGGGTTTCTGCTTTGTGGAATCGGCAGATACCTACGTTATCAGCTAATAAGGAAGCAGTTTTGGCAATAGTAAAGCTGCCAGCCTTATATGAAGGATTACTCCGTACTTCGAGCTCTCAGACTTTGTGAGCTTTGTGAGCTGAACCGTAAGTTGGATGTGATTTCTGAGAATCGTGGGCCACTTGCAGCTCCTAGGACTCGCCAGCAGGAAGGATTCGATCTTGGAGAAATCTAACAAGCACGGAGTGGCGGCATGTCCACGGATCTGACTGTTCAGATTCACCATTGAGTGTTCCAGCAGAACTGAAGGCAGACAGGTCAGTAGAGTCTGCCTGCCCTAAACAATTGTTGTTTATCTGAATTTGGCCTCCCCGCTGGCCTTGGATAGGCCGACTTATCTCAGATTGCTCCTGGAGGATACATAAACTAGAAGTTCTGCCTGCCCCCCCTCCTGAGGACATCTGTGTCTTTATTAGAATTGTGCCGCTGATAGACACCGTACCATCTTATCAGAACTTTGGAACTATCTGGAGCGTCCATGGACAACTCACCACCATTGTTGACCTTCTATGCATAAATGTTTTATGATGTCATTGTATGTTGCTGTTTATGTTGCAAGGTCTTTTTTTGCATCTTTTCCACTGTGCCCCGGTCAGTACATAGTTTGAGACATGATTTTTTTTTAAACTTCCTACACCCTTGTGTTCTCTTTTCTTCATGTAGTCTGTATGTTGTATGTAACAGGTCTCTCTTGGAAATGAGTCCCTGAGGCTCAGCGGGAATTAATTTGTATAAATAATGGTTGAAAGAATAAAGAGAAAGATTATGTTGACAAGAGCCACGCTCTATGTACGTTGCATGAATAGCTCCAGCCGGACGGCAAACAGACAAACAGCTGGTGGAAGCTGCAGCTGTGGCCAGCAGCAACGGACGAGCAACGCTCAAGTTTTCACCAAATAAATTACAAAGTTCTTTGCAGCTTTTATTGTGAATGAGTTGCATCCTTGATAGCAGGGCTTGTGTGCAAAGTTTCACTCGCATTTTCTGACAGTACATGATCACGTCCATTCCACTTAAAAGCAAAACAAAAAAGTCATGGAAACATTAAATAATAGATTAGGATAGCTCGTAATGGCTGATAGACTTCTTTTGCCACATAATCGTACGCTGCTGTACTGTACGACTACTTCTTTTTATTTAGTGCCCATAATCTTGTTTTAATAAAATATTTATATTTTAAAGCCTTTTAGAACAGGATTTTGTTAAAGGGGTTGTACTGATGTATTTAAATCTGTGAATTAGATTAACAAAGACCTTAACAAACCCCTACTGTGAGGTGTGATAGGTCAATCTGCATATGTATGTGTGTATCTTGTAGCTTTATAACCTGATCCCCACACGCCTTGTTTTTTTTAAATGAGAACGCTTCTCAGATGAGAAGCGAAACGTCTTCTGTTACAAATAAAGTCCAGTTGTTGCCTTGAACATTATTGGATGCATTTAAATGCACCAATAATCACTTTTTAAATATTGGAGTTCTCTAAATTGTATTAAAATTGAATTGTGACGTGCCTACGCATTCCTGCCCCTGATTCCAACATTTCTAGCTTTTATTATAATTTTTTAAATAGAGGACATCGGCAGCAGTTTGTGTCCTCACTTGTCCCTCCGTCCCCCCCAGATGGTCCCACACAGCCTGGTGTTTACTCACATAGCCTTGACTGGCACGTCCCCGCAAGGACTCGGCAGTGCAGCGTGATGTGCCTGCGGTTGGATTTCATTTATCTAGTGGGTCTGTGGGGATAGGCGTGGCAGATGTGATGTTTTTGGAGCCAGATGTGAAGCGGTACAGCCGTCCCCAGTGTGGAGCCACCATAGTGTCTGGCTGGCTGTCAGCCTGGCTCTGCTTCAGGAAGCACGGCGGCAGCTCCCGTGCGTTATCTCCCTCCGTGTGTGTGTTAAAAGACTGGATCTCTGACGAGAATCTGCTGTGTGTCCACCCATGTCTGAGGCTTTTGCGGTAGTGAATAAAACACGTTTGACACTTATCCACAATTCTACCCATCACCATCTGACATCGGTAGATTCTCAAATGTCACAACAAGCACACTTCCACATGTGGAGCGTCTGCAGGTCAGGGCAACACTCGAGGAAGATTCTCTTCCTGCGCTCCTCGGCTTTGATGTGGGCCAAGATCGACCCGTGAATAAATCCAATGGGTTTTAATGAGGTACAAGGTTGAGTGTTCCACCTGAACTCCCCCATCTATACCAATCACAACCCCGAGTGTAAAGGCACTGCTGGCGCTGTACGTTATGCTGCTGAAGAAAACAAACGCATACAACCAATTAAAGAAACGGCCCTGGGATTTTCTCTGGTAGCCATGTTTTATTTCTAACAAACACCACCACCAACATAACAATTAATGAGTATGTTTTTAATTGGAATCAATAAAAATGTTCAGCAGAGGTACACCTCAGTATACAGCTGCTACAGAAAGTTTTTAAACCTCCGAACAACTGAGAAGCTTACTTAATGCGGCGCGTTCAGTAAACTACAGCTCAAACGTTATTCGAGTCAGAATACGTTTGTATAAGCGACCGAGTTGAACAGAACAACAACAAAATAAATAAATCGTTTTTTCTAAGCGTTGCACAAACTTTCCCGTTACATGATAAACTAAACGAGCGATCAGATTAAACTATTTAACGTTTAAGAATCAAATGTTTGTTTTTCCTCAAGTTTATGAAAAACTTACGACTATAACTGAGCCAACTGTGTTTTATAAACTAAAACTAAACGAGCTGCGTTTCACTTCTACGTTCAGTCCTTGTGAAGCTGCAACGACTGGACTCCAGCTGAGCTCAAGTGAATTTGTTTCACGGCTCACATCAAACTCAGGTTTAAAATTTAAGATGCTTTTGGGCTGTTCAGGAAAACTAAACAAACAAATAAAATATACTCAAGTCCCTATCCCAGGGGTCCGCGAGCTAGAGTTGTCATTTCTAACCTGAACCTGAAACCCGGCCCAGATTAGATTAGTTATAATGTGATTAATGGGCGAGCCGGGCTGGTCTCAGTAAACGATAACTAATTAAAAAACAGTTCAAAAATAAAAACAATCCCAGTTTTAAAAAAACTATAAAAATATGCTTATGATAATTTAGTTTTTAATCACAATGAAAACTTAAACCCAATTCCTAAAATAATGAAAAAAGTTTGTGATTTATAACTGGAGACATTTTAAAACCAGTTATCAAGTATCAATCTTTATTTGTGAATTTTAATTGATGGGTATTTAAAAAAAACAACAACACATTTTTGACACCTTTAACTTAATGTTTAGCCAATTTTATCTTTTAGCTATGGTTTAGCTAAATTTAACTCTTACCGTCTTTATTTGCCATTAGTGTTTGCAGCTCGTTTTACTGATTTTAACTTCTGTTTTTCTTGTTTAAACTTCAGAAATTCAGTTAAAAAAATCCCTAAAAAATGTCCGCATCAACATTCACAGTCCATTTAGCACAAAATGCAGCAAAATGCTAAAAACCTCATGTCAGAGGACTCTTCCTCTACGGTTTATCAGTCGTGGAAGGACTGACGTATATGGACGGTTTTTTTTGTTGTTGAGACGTTTTGTCCTTCATCCAAAGGACTTCATCAATCCAATCGTAGTCCTTTGGAGGGGGCGGGCCCCAGAAACCATCTTATCACCAGCAAACTGGTTGGTCCACTATGGGCGTGTGCTGCTTGTGGGGCTGAGTTTGTTTGTGGCTCCTTGGAGATGAAGGACAAAACGTCTCAACAAAAAAGAAACTGCCCAGATGACCTGACTGAACTTTGTTGGATTGTTTTTATCTGGATTATTCAGCATGAACTTTGACGACTGACACATAGTTTAATGAAGTTTGGATTCTCTTTTTTTAATGCTCTAAAAAGTTTTTGATTCTCTATTCCCATCAGTAAAGAGGTCAGTAAGAATATATATATATTTTTTTCCAACAGTTATCTGGTCACAGCGGGCCGTCTACCTGCTGGTGGTGCGGGTGAAGAAGGGTCTGTCGTTGACTGAAGGAACGGACTCGTCCATGAGTGGATAGGACTTGATGAAGGTCAGCGTTTCATCAGGGAAGGTGGTGGAAGTCTTGTAGGCGGCCGCAGAGCCCTCGCCGGCGCAGCTGCCTGGTCTGTATAACAGACATCGGGTATAAATCCGGTTCCACAGGCACAGATGTAAAAACACTTGCAGCTATTTGTTTTTTTTGGGGAAAGCAGGCGTGAAAACAGGTGTCTTATGAGACTGCTTGTTGTTTTTTTTCCTCGCAAATGTCTGTACAGAACAATAACAGCAGCTGCACAACTTCTATAGACACAGAAACGAGCTGTGAGAAAGTGACAGTTTGCTGTAGAAAAAACGTTTCCTTACCTCGGCTTGGGGACTTGCTCCTCTGGAACAGGTGTCCAAGCCGTCTCGCTGTTCCTCTGCTCCTTGAATTTACCGTTGAAGGCCTTTTCGATGTCGTCCATGTAGAAGGCACAGACTGCTGAGCCAGTGATGCTGTAAAAACAGAAGATCAGGCGCAGTACCCGAATCGTTATTTGGAGGAAAAAAAATCTGTTTACATTCAAAAATGGTCCCTTAAAATTGACATTTGAATTTAGGTAAATATATTTTATTTATGAGTTTTAAAACAGAACAAATTTGTTGTTAGATCTTCAGATGGGATGCATTTTGTCCTGTTAGACCTCAGTGCTGCATTTCATGTCTCTATTGTCAACGAGTCCCCGAGGCTCAATGGGATTAACCTGTATAAATAAAGGTTGAACGAATTTGATACAGTTGATCACAATATTCTACTACAGAGACTTGAATATGATATTGGAATTACAGGAATGGCTCTAAAATGGTTTAAATCATATTTATCGGATATATTCCAGTTTGTAAATGTAAATAATGAATCTCCTTCAGACACCAAGGTTAGTCATGGAGTTCCTCAGGGTTCAGTGCTTGGACCAAAACTCTTTACCTTATATATGCTTCCATTAGGTAAAGCATGGGATACATTTTCATTGTTATGCTGATGATACACAGTTATATTTGTCCATGAAACCCAATGAATCCAATCAGTTACTTAGACTACAAGCATGTCTTAAAGACATAAAAACTTGGATGACCCTAAATTTTCTGCTTTTAAACTCAAATAAGACTGAGGTTTTTCAGTCTTTCACTTTCTCTGGATGGCATTAATGTGGCCTCCAGCTCTAATGTTAAAAATCTTGGTGTTATTTTTGATCAGGACGTGTCTTTTAACCCCCACATTAAAAACATTACCAGAACCTCCTTCTTCCACCTGTGCAATATCTCTAAAATGAGACATCTTGTCCAAAATGTCTTGAATTCTTCTTTGTAATAGCATTTTTTCCTGTTTACATTAATGTTACTTTACAAATAGTTATTTTAACGTTTTCACTGTACAAATAAAACATTCCTTTAAAATTAACAATAGAGTTTAAGCAAATATCTATAAATTATAAGAGTTTTAAAACCATTTTAGTGCTTGGACTTCAGGACTGATGTTAATCCACGCCTCCCAGATGCAGACAGAAATGTCATGACCTCAGGTAAGAAGGATTTAGGAGCTGCTCAGGGCAACATATTCCACAGAATTATAGCCCTATGAAAAGGTGATCATCTAAAAAGTTCAGGCAGGTCTAGACCTCAGCCTTGCCTCATAAATCTAGACATGCTGTTGTCAAAAGACAGTAATAATGTCAACCTGTTGGCCTGCGTGGTAAAAACTCCAAGGACAGCCGGCCGGTGGTTGATCTGCAGGACGTTGGTCAGTGACTGCAGGACGTCAAAATAAAAGAAAGAGTCTCCGGGCACGGAACAGTTCAGACGGGCTTTGAGGAAAGATGTCCAGTATCGTTCCAGAACCCTCGGGGAGCCACCGTTGTCGTTCTTACAAACGCGCGCGACTCTGGAGAAAACAACCTGAGGAGGAAGGAGTGGGAAAACTTAAATGGTGATTTATAAAGCAACACACCTGGGCAGAGCCGACAAGGAACACTGAACAACAAACGCCCTGTGTGCACGACGAGCGAGGCGGTTGTTGGAGTTCATTCTGCTCAGAAACAAAACTGTTGATCCCACTCACCTTTCCTAGAGTGGTGTACTCCACAGCTATCTCGCTGAAGAAAAAGTACACGTAGTTCCCATATTCAATGGCGTGAAGGAAATGAGGTTCTGAAGAAAAGAAGAAGAACAAGATGTCAATAAACAACTTATTTATGCCTTATTTCCAACATAACAGCTTCATAAACAAAGCAGGGAGTGGAGCTGGTAAACACAGAGCTATAGGAGAAATGTTACTGAAATTACAAATATGTCAACAAAAATCTGTTGGATTGAAAGAGTCCAGATGGTTCTGGATCAACAGTCAAAGCTCATGGAGGAAAAACAAAGTTCCAGATAACATCGATTTCTAAAATCTGAACACTGCCCTGATCCGTTCATTATGATTATTATTATCATTATCATCATTATTATTATTATTATTAATGTTCATGTTTTGATTTAAATATTTGGCTTTATTTATTGGTTTGAATTCAGTCATTTGAACTACAGTTTAGGATTATATATGCATGTGAAAATATCTAAATTTAGACATGCTGTACCGCCCTTTACATAAAATGTAAACGTCGCTCTGAAATTGAGATATATTATGAACATCTGGCTGAAACCAACAGCATGATGTTCAGCATTTAGTGTTCGCTGAAACAGTTTCATAACCTCACGGTGTCTGAGGTAATGAAAGTAAAAAAGTAAATATAAAAATAAGTCAGAACAATGCAACACGTCTCAAAACATATCAATACTGGTTTAAAATCTCTTTATTGTTATTAAATTAAACTAGCATCAGGTCTGCAGCTTGCAGGTTTGTTTTTGTCAAGACTTTATTTATTTGGCCTGATAATATTTGCTAAAGGAGAAACGTGCTCAGTTTTTAGGTGTAAATAATACTTTACATACAGTGCATGCATGAAATCAACAGAAAATTAATCAAATATATTTAATATGATAATATGGAGGCATTTGAAAATAGAAAGGCTATATTTTTTCTCTGTAGGACACATCACTCAAACTGGCTCCACAAAAGACGATAGGTTTAAAAAAAAAAAAAAAAGTTTTTGTACAGAACTAGAGTGAATATTTGCAGTGATCAACATGTTTCATGTAGAAGTACAAATACTTCAATGTAGAGTTTTGAACTGATATTTCCTTCTTTACGTTTTTAATTGTTACAGACAGAAAAGTGAAACGGAGCAGTGGAACTGAGCCAAACGTTCATTCTAACAAACAAAGATGGACGCCGACTGCCAGAAAAAAAATACAAGCCTGATCTGGAAAAGTTTTGTTTAAAATATAATCAGACATATTTATTTAAATTGCTCAGGACTTTTTATATTTTGTAAGTTCTGAACCTCGTAAATATGGAACCAGACCCTGCTGATTTATGAAAATCTTTCATCTCCACAACTTGATGCTTATTATTCTCTCACTATATTAGGACGCTTACCTCTTAGCCATTTGGAGTCATATTTGACGGTACGTAAAACGGGACTACTTTCACCCAGACTTCTGTAAATGACCGCATCACTGGCCAAGAAGTCGGTCATGGTTGCAGAGTAGAAATCACCACCTGAGAGATGGAAAATGATTTGTCAGGGATCACAACTACCAACCATAATCCACTTCTTTTATATCCACAGAGGATTTTTAAGACTTTTTTTAGAAAGAGGATGAGGAGAACAGATGTTGGAGAACAAGCCCGTTTAACAGGAACCTGTGTGAACTTTCTATAAATGTCAGTGGAAACCTGGCAGGACTCCCCCGTCTCTTCCCTGAATTTGACCTCAGCTGTTCATAATGTATCAGCTTGCTTGTCGGCTATCGTTAGCAAGGAAAGTGTAAATCCCAGTACAAACCAGAACCGTCAAAAGGAAACTTCAAATAGTCTTGATGAGCCAGACTTAGAAAACACATTACAAATTGCCTTTTAGTTCAGCTCTTTGCTTGTACACAAATTATGTAGTTGATAAAAGGGCAGCCACTTTTTACTTTATATTATTTTTATTGTTGCATTTCCACCCATAATTCTAAGAAAAGCCAACAATTTTCAAACAACTCGCTAAACGGTCTTTTCAAGAATTACTTAGATCAAATTTTTATTCATACATCACAAAAAATAAAAAAAAAGCAATTAAAATGATGCTAATCATATTTTGTAAAGCAAATTATCTTTAATTACCATTAAAATGCAAGTTTCTCATTAACCCCTATTGCTGAACATTTACAATAGATTTACTTGGTTTGACAATAAATGCATGAGGATTTGATGAAAGGTACTGAAATCAGCTCAGATTAAACTTCTGAGTGAATTCCACGTGACGTGATCAGGTTTTTTTTTAAATTTAACGGGAAAAAAGATTCTCAGAAAACGTTAAAAGCTTGTTTTGTGCATCATGTTCTCACTTTTAACTCGTTAAAAAAAGTGAATACTCTCACATTTTTAAGATATTTTGATTAATTTCATCTGTCAAGTTATAATTAGTCATGATTACAGCTTTTCTTAAAATAGAACAGTGCAATTCATTGTTTTAGTGAAACATCATTAAAACACAACCAGGAAATGTGCCACAGACCGATTCTCCCCATTTGAAGAAAAATCACTTGAAGAATCCTCAATCTGGCGTGAATATTTTTATTGATTAAATATGATCAAAACAACACTTTAGAGCGACTCACCTGCAAAAAGACCAACGTTGGACTGGCGGGACTCAAAGGGACATCGAGCTTGTCCCACCACCTCCTCTCCTTCCTGCTCCAGCGTCGACATCTTAGTCAGAAAGAAAGAAGCAACAAAAGAATAGATTATGAGGCCGTATACGAAGCCACAAGATGAATTCAACAGAAGGTTGGGACATAAAGACTAACAACTGTGAAACTCGGGCTTTCCCACTCCCAATGGGAAATATCACTCAGCCTCTGAGACCAAAAGTCTTCGGTGAAGTGCAGCTGAATATACAGACGGAATACCGAATCAGTGTGTGATAATGAAAGGCAACGCATGCACCATAAAGATAACTTTTATTTGATGCCTTATATGTGGGTCATTTCCATCAAAGCTGTGCGTGACGGTCCTGCAGTTCAGGTCGTCAGGACGGTTTATCTCCCCGACTCAGATTTAAGCTGCTGTTTTCCAAGCTGCTGTTAACAAGGCTGTAAACCTCGGACACAAGGCGGCTCGGGGTGCAGATATTTGTGTAGAGGCTGAATGCATGCGAGCGGCTTTAATGCCCTCTGTAGCAATAAGGTGAGACAAAGACGCACGTACACCACATTAAAAGTCCATTAACACATTACAGTGTTTATGTGATGGACACGCTCATGTAATTGCTGTATTATTCTGCCAGTAAAAAAAAAAATACATAATTACTTTATGATGGTCATTGGGTTGGAATGAATAACACAACTTTACCAGGGATGAATATTTAATCATTAGGATCCATGAAGCTAGTTTTACTGTATAAAGAAAAAAGTGACGACTGTTGAAGATATCAGAGATTACCGATACTGATGTTAAAAATGTGAAATAATGTGTTTTATTCTGTTTATTATGAATTAAAAAAAGTCATATTTGTGCTTCGTCTGCCAATGAAACTAGCTTGTGAAGTAACTGCATCACATTTGAAGTTTTTTTTTTTTTTTTACTGATCAGTTTTTTTAAACAAATTTTGCCATCCATGTATTTTAACATCCATCTATAACAACTCTTTAATGAAACCAGGATGATGAGTTACAACATTTATTTATCTTCAGGATTAATAAAGTATTTTTGAATTTAACTGAATTCATTATAATGAATTATATTCATTATAATATTCTATTGAGCCGACTAAATTATTGGCTAGGTGTTAGAGACATTGTGGTTCAAATCTTATCTTCATGACAGAACTTTTTCAATAATTTCTGGCAATAATTCCTCCAGTTCAGCTTCTCTCACTTGTGGTGTCCCCCAAGGGTCTATTCTTGGGCCACTATGATTTTCTATTTATAAGCTACCACTTGGTCAGGTTATTCATAAATTCAATAATTATTTTAATTTTTATGCTGACGGTTCCCAGATTTATTTGGCTATTAACCCATCAGACCTCTCCACACTCGATAAACTTTGTCTCTGCCTTACAGACATCAAAACCTGGATGTCTGATAATTTTCTTTCACTCAACAACGATAAAACTGAGGTGATGGTTTTTGTCCCCAAGGTCAAAATGGATATATTAGTTCAGCCCCTTTCTGTTCTTGGTTTTAATTGCACTGGTGAAGCCAGAAATTTGGGGGTAACCTTTGATTCTGATCTTGGTTTTTCTAAACATTTTAAGAACATCCCTAAAATAGCATTTTTTCAAATTAAGATTATTGCCAAAATCAGAGCATTTCTCTCTTTAACTGATGCAGAAACTCTCCTTCATGCCTTTGTCTCGTCATCTTGATTATTGTAACTCTTTATTTTCTGGTCTGCCCCAAAGTTCTCTTAATCGCTTTCAACTAGTACAAAACACTGCAGCTAGAGTTCTCACAAGATCCCATAAACATCAGCACATCACTCCAGTTCGGTTCTCATTGCATCGGCTCCCTGTGGTTTTTAGAATTGACTTTAAAATTTTATTGTTTGTTTTTAAATCCCTGAATGGTCTTGCGCCATCATATCTATCTGAGCTTCTTACCCCTACATCCCTTCTTGCAATCTCAGATCCTTAAATCTGTCATTACTTTCCACTCCCAGAGCTCGACTGGTGACAGAAGGACGGAGGGGTTTTATGGTCAGGGCTCCTAATCTGTGGAATGCTCTTCCTTTAAATATTAGACAGGCCTCTTCATTGTCTTCTTTTAAATCATTAGTTAAAACTTACAAGGCTTTTAATACCTGAATTTCTTTCTTTTTTATGTTATTTTAATTGATTTGGTATACTTTTGTGTTTCTGATGTCATTTATGATGTTTTAATTGATTAACGTGAAGCACTTTGTAACATTTGTTTGAAAGGTGCTACACAAATAAAGTATTATTATTATATATTATAATTAATTACATAATGACTAACAGGCGATGAAGTGACGTGGAAAAAGCAGTTAGGGTTAAATAATAACCAGTTTAAAGCTCAAAGTAAAACTGTGCATCAAATTACTTTAAGTTCCATTTTATTTTTTGTCACAGAAACAAATCAGCTGCAAGTTGTTCAGGTTTAAAGAAGCAGCACGGCACGTTATAAACTGCTGAATTTAGAAATGCTTGATTTGTTTATTCTGAACTTCTTGGTGCAAAACAGCAAAGTGCAAAGTAGAGGCTCCCATTTTAATGTAACAGACGTGATTAGTATCCAAGTTCTACATGAACTAAAACGCATTTAAGGGATCCCACAGGGCTGTGACTTTTAGACACTAGCTGGATAAAAAAATTGATTTCCCGTTGCAGTCTCACTTTATTCTTAGTATTTGCCACATGCAATATCTAATTAACTGGAGTGCACCTTTGAAAGGAAGATAAGCAGATTTCAATAATTATTATTTATCTGAATTGCTTTAGACTTGGTTATGTTTTCTGACTGAGGCCAGCTCCTGTGCACATGTCTAAACTCAGCTCTAGTGCAGTAGAGACAGACTGGAGAGACCTGCGATGACACGGTGACTATTTCGTGAGAAAATGTACACATTTTTTGAGTTTTCTGAATTTTTGAACATGTTAAGAATTCATCAAAGATACTGTGAACCCCTCTGAACGTTTGGAGACTCCCTACGTTGTTCACAAACAGCTGTAGTGAGACATCACTTTTGGGAATGTTACGTTGCATTTCAGTCAAAATATAGCACAAACTTTGACACTTCACTTTTTTAATTTCTTGTTTTCAAGGCAACTAAAAAAGCAATGCCTTTTTTTAAATTGTGTTATTATTTACGAAAACATAATTTTTGAACTGACAAGGTTATTGTCTGATTAAAGTTTACAGTAGTCCCTCGTTTATCGCGGGGGATCCGTACCCTGAAGCCCCGCGATATGTGAAAAACCGAGACGTACGAATAGTAGTACAAGTAGTAAGTAGTAGTTCATTTTAGTATTTAGATATATTTATTTACATAAAGGAATTTTAAACCCATCGCACACTATTGCAGAATTCTAAACAATGTTTCTAAATGCTCTAAGGAGCACAGAATGTCATGATTTCCTTCTCTCTGCATCCTGCTCTTTGCCACCTGCAAGCGTTTTTGGCCACGCCCACTTCTCCGCTCTGCACGGAGAACAGCTGATCAGCGGCTGCAGGAAGCTTATCCAGCAGTGTGGGCTGCACAAAGGTGCAGCAGGTGCTAAATAATTTATTTTCAATAACAATCCATGCCGATAGTGCGGCTCATCCATCAATCAGCCATTTGTACGTCATGTCCATTCTTAAAAAAAAAAAAGCAAACTACTATTATTATGTATTATTATAGTAATCACAATCTTTACTCGCTTCTTTTTCCCTTGAATAGAAATCAAAAGTATTTTACAGATTTTTTCAAAAGAGCAGGATAGTCAGAAAGAAACACCATAAAGAGAACATCTAAAGACAGAAGTGACTTTAGAGTCAGTCTCTTCAGCGCAAACGAACAGACGGATTCAACTCTTTAAAGATTTTGTTTTATCATAAACGCGTGCTGACTCGGAGCTTTGTGCTGTCTCCAGACCAGCTGTCGCAGCAGCCTGGTCAGTCAAGCTGCATGTTCATTACTGGACATCAGTTTGGGTTTTTTATAGAAACACACATGCCTCCTCTATCCTGGGCAGATTTTTTTTATATTTTTTATGGTGGAGTCCCGGAGACAGATTCCTTGATATGATTTATTATTTCTTCCCACTTTCCCCAGCTGTCTGAATAGTCATCTTATGTTCTCTTTTCCAGACAAGGGAATAAGATGAGGGCTGCAGGGAGAACGAATGTTTTGGTAAAAGCGTAAATCAGCCGCTCTTTACTAAAGGGAGTCTGTGGCAGGAGGAAGATAACGTCTAAATGTAGGTCGAATCACAGTTCTTTACACATTTCACATCAACTGCTCTGCAGGACCTCTGGCACATCTGAGACGTGGTTTGATACTGGAGAACGTTCAGGTAATGTCAGCCTGTGGAGATGCTCCGCTTACTTTATAATTCCCCAGAGAGGACCGGGAAACTGTTCAAAACCATAAAACATCAACTTTTTGATCCAAAAAACTAGGTGCAAATAGTGGTAAAGTTAAACAACATCCTCATTTAAAAAGTTTGAAAATTTACAGAGACTTTAAAAAGCAATCTTTCCCTAGGATGTTGTATGATTTTATTGCTGTCATAAATCAATCTTGCTAAATATAAATAAGCCTTCTTTAAAAAACATGTTAAAAAAATATCTCTAATCAACATCAAAGTGTAACCCAATTCCTAGTCACAATTAAATAAAAATATGTTATGTAAAATAAGTAAGTGCTTAAAAATTCCCCCCCTTTGAAGTGACCATCTTAATTAAACAATTCAATTCAGTTAATGTATAACGCGCCAAGTCACAACAGAAGTCGTCTCAGGGCACAGAACAGAAACATTCGTATATAAAAAAATAATTTTTTTTTTTTTTTTTTTTCATTTAGCCTTTATTTATCCAGGTTAGTCTCATTGAGCCACGAGAACTCATTTTCAAGAGAGACCTGTTTAGGGAGCACATGGTGGGGGTTAAGGGCCTTGCTCATGGGCCCAGAGTGGGGCGAATGAGGGTGGGGGCAAGTGTGGGTGTTTCACCTACCCCACCCACAATTTTGATGTTGTCGGGGCCGGG